TTACATGAGCTCGCGCGAGCTACTTTTTCTAGTTTAACATAATTTGAATTTTCAATTATCTTGCAAAAAAGCTAAGTGTTAAAGTGGACATTCGCGCGCGCAAGACGAAATCCTTCCAGAACCTTAGGTTTCGTAGCGATTTCAACATAAAAACATCAAAAAGCCAATGGTTTTTCAAAATAAAATGTCCAAATTTCATCCCGCGCGCGCTGTCCGACTCCCACAAAACCAATGGTTTTTCAACATTTATGTTACATAAGCTCGCGCGAGCTACTTTTTCTTGTTCTTACATAATCAAATTTCAACATCCCTTGCAAAAAAAAGTACAGTGGACATTCGCGCGCGCAAGACCAACAAAAAACACGACGATCTCAGGAACTTGCCCCAAAAATGTGACCAACTCCGCTCTCTCTGTCTCTCTCTCTGTCTGCTCTCTGTCTCTCTCTCTGTCTGTCTGTGTCATGTTTTGTATGTCACAATTGCAGGATGCTGGGCACACGCGCGCCCCGAATAAGTGACCAAGTTCTGTGGGTGTGTACCCCACGCCAGTGTAGTTGCCACGGTCGTCCGCACGCCACGAAGTGAAGTGTCCCAACGTCATAGGGCGGGAAGCTGGGTTTGGGTGGTCGCGAAGAGTCGTTTGGATATTTGGTAGATCTTGAACTGCCCCCCCACGAAGTGGGGGTATTGTCTCGCGTCGCATGAAAACCCTGGCACTGGTGAGAACACTGAGCGTTCGGGTAAAATGATTGTTGTTGTTGTTGTTGTTGTTGTTGTTGTTGTTGTTGTTGTTGTTGTTGTTGTTGTTGTTGTTGTTGTTGTTGTTGTTGTTGTTGTTGTTGTTTAATAAAGACGTCTCGAGCGAATGCCCCCTGGTGAAACGCAAATGCCCATCATCCCTCTGCGTGCTGCAGCCGTTCACTACGGCTGCGCGTGGCGCTAAGGCGAGGGCCCCAGGTTTGAGAAGGAGCCGCCATCCTCACATAAACTGCCGCCAACGTCTGCGCGGAACGTGCGCGGCGCTGAGACGAGAGCCTCATTTCGAGGACGGCCCGCCCTCCATCCCCAGAAGCTGCTGCGAGCTCGACAGACGAAATGCTGGCGATGCGACGGCGGGAAGCTGACGCCCCCTTTCGACAGAGCGCCGCCGCCCAGTCTTGAGGCCGCTGCAGACTTTCGAGTCGAAGGCGCGCGGCGCGACGGCGCGAGCCCCGATCTTGAACAGCAGCCGCCTCCTCCCACTCCTCCTCCTCCTCCTCCTCCTCCTCCTCCTCCTCCTCCTCCTCCTCCTCCTCCTCCTCCTCCTCCTCCTCCTCCTCCCCCGAAGCTTTGAAGCGAATGCGCGCAGCGCTCCGGCGAGAGCCTTAGTGTTGGAAGCGGCCATCCATCCTCGAAGCTGCTGCGAGCTTTCAAGGCGCATGTCTGCGCGCGACGCCAAGGCGGGAGCTCCACTTTGAAAACGGCCCGTCGCCCGTCCTCGAGGCTGTTGCAACTGTCAATCAGGATGATCATTGGGAAGAAGTCTTTAGGCGAAACTCCCAGCCCGCCCTTCCGATCAGGCTCGGCGCTTATTAGGATAACGGATGGAGGAGGAGGAGAATGAGGAGGAAGACCAATGGGATGGAGGATGGAGGAATACGAGGAGGAGGAGGAGGAGGAGGAGGAGGAGGTGGAGGTGGAGGTGGAGGAGGAGAAGGAGGAAGAGGGGGAGGAGGAGGAGAACGACTCTCTTGTCGCCCTCGCCCCTCTCCGCCGCAGATGCGCGTCGAGACATCTATATTGACCTGTCGGCGCTTTGGAGGGCAGTCTCGCTGGCGCGCAGAGCGCGCTCTCTCTCTCTCTCTCTCTCTCTCTCTCTATATATATAAAAAAAACTATTCCGGTGTTTTTTCCAACCATCCTGTGATGTTGGGTCTTCGTTTCGAAGAGACAGCGCCCCGCGTTCCTTCCTGCCTCATTCGCCTCCTCTCCTCCTCCTCCCCTCCCTCCCCCCGTCCGTGCCTCTGGCCTCCGCATGTCTCTGTTTCGGTACACCCCTCACACGTGTCGTGACCACCATAGGAGCTCCACCGAGGGTCCCCGTGGCGCAGCCCGCATGCGTCCGCGCCACCCATCTCCGATACACCCCGCACAGTGGCCCCATAGGGAGCTGCACCGAAGGCCCCAGTGGCGGTGCCCACATGCGTCCCCGCCACCCATGTCGGCACACCTCTCACACTTTCCGTGGCCCCACAGGAGCTCCACCGAAGATGATATTCACAACTGCGTTGCTCACAACTGCGTATGGTTGGGTCCGTCGCCAGGCTATTTTTTTTTTTGTGTGTGTGTATGTATCATGTGCTATGTTGTGTTGTGCTGTGTTGTGTTGTGCTGTGCTGTGCTGAACTGTGCTGTGTTGTGTTGTGGTGTGTTGTGTTGTGTGTCTTTAGGTGTATTGTAGACGGCGTTTCTCTCTCGCTCCCTCGATCTCTCGCTCCCTCTTCCGCTCCATGCGTTCCCTTCTTCCGCTCCATGCTTGTGTGACAGTTCTGAAGCGCCACCACGCCAACCGTCTTGGAACGGTATCGGGGCCGATGGAGCGCGTCGCTCGTTCTGTCTTTGAAGCACCCTCTTGTGCCCTATTTGTACTTCGGAGGGCCTGCACTCTCTCTCTCTCCTTCTCTCTCTCTCTCTCTCCTTTTTTTTTTTTTCTCTCTCTCTCTCTCTCCCTCGCCCTTTCTTCTCTCCCTCTTCAAGGATGCGAAGCGTTGCCCGTGGTTGTGCGGGGATGGTGTTCTGAGGGTCTGGGCGTGGTGATGTTGGGGCTTTTCGCTCGCCCAGCAAGGCTGGAGCAAGCAGTAGTAGGAGCGCCCCGGCTGCCCCGTATGGGGCTTCAGGCGTGGGCTGTGTCACGGTGGCAATGCGTCGGGCGAAAATCGCAGCCACCTGCCACTCGGCCTTGCCGTCTTGCACTCTTGCTAGCAGGGTCTGCGGCCAAGGCGCAGCTACCTCGGTGTGCCCACGGTGGTGGTCCCGCGGCCGTTTGGCGCTCAGGTTGGATCGAAGCCACATCCTTTGATGGCCTTCGGCGTCGCAAAGACTCCGTGGAAGATTACGGTCAGGGACTTTGGCGTACCGTGTCGCGCCGCCGGTTCCAGCGCACCGACGCTAGCTAAACCACATCCCAGTTCCCAAGCATCAGCGTTCCGAGCTTTTCCCAGCCTCTCCCGCCCCGCGGAGCAGAACGGAACGGAACGGAAGCCAGCGCAAGGCCCGCTCACATCTTGATGTAATCGTCCTTCAGTTGGTCCCACATTTCTAACATCGCAACCTGTGTCCAATCGTCGTGGCCAAGAGTGGTCAGCACATGTTGTTTGATCTGCTGTCTGCTTGCCTAGCATCTGCTATCTGCTTGCCGCGGAGCGGAGCGACGAGCTAGCTGCCTGCCTAGCACAGCGTGTCGCTGGGGGCGCCGCCGCGACACGCTAATTGAGCAAGGCGTCCTGACCGGGGTTGCGCCGCGCTCCGTTTCCACCGTGGCTTCACGTCTCGTCTCAACAGCTTTGCGCTTGGCGGCCACACTACACTCTAGGCGATGCTTGAGAAAACCCAAGTTTCCGGCCAGAGTCTCGATTATTCTTAATGTTTCAATGTGAATCCCAAGATTTGAATAGACACTCTGGGTTTTTATTCAAATTCTGAGACTGAATTTCTGAACCCATGCTTTCTAAAGCATTTCGCAGGGTGTACTGATCCTGAACGCGTTGCGTACCGCAGCGTGTGTGGGTGGCCCTCGAGCTGCGGCCAACCTAGAAATAGCGGTCACGGAGCACAGCCAGGACTTGAAGCCGGCTGGAGGGCTGAGGTGGTCTGACCCCAGATCCGCCCTACTTTGGGGAAGCTCGTACGTGGGGCCTGGAAAAAAAGCCAAAGTGGGGCGGATCTGGAGTCAGGGTGGTCCAGCATTGGCTCCGGCCAGCACACAGGGGCGAGAGAGGGGCCTCCATCGTGGCGATGGCTGGACACGGCTCGGCAGCCTGGTCCGTTCCGACCCCGGGACGGGCCCGTGGTCCCATGTTGGGCGGACTTGCCTTCGCCCCCCCCTCTCTTCACTGCTCCTCTCGGGGCCCCTGCCACGCAGACCCCACTGCGCCCAAGCCAGGACACACTCGTCGCGAGGCTGCCGAGGGAGCCGCCTCGAGAAGGCACCGCCGGATCCGGCCCCCTGTGGGTGCCCAACTCTTGGGGCTCGGGGGGGCAACGAGCCAAGGCACCCAGACATGCTCGCGTCGTAGACGAGGCAGGACGGAGGCCTGTCACTGTTCTCGGCCTCCGGAGGCCCCCGCCGGGCCTCGGGACCGTCGGCAAAACCAGCTTTTCGCCCCGAACTCGCCCGAACTCCAGATCCGCCCTACTTTGGCTTTTTGTTCCAACTTAAAATTGCGTGGGAAATCCACCTATAAGAGGCCGAACAAGTAGGGCGGAAATCTCTGCACCCAACATAAACTAGGGCGGAACTCTTCAGAAGTAGGGCGGAAACAGCAACAGAAAAGTAGGGCGGAAATTGGCACCAGCGGGGCTTGAAAAGTAAAGCGGAAATTCCAAGCCCTACTCACGACTTTCCCCAAAGCAGGGCGGATCCGGAGTCAGGGCGGGGCGAAAAGCTGGTCCTGCGGAAAGGGTCGGGGCCTCGGGGACCGCGCACGGCAAAAGTCGGGACGTCGCACGTCTGAGAGTGCCTGTGGCTCGATCTGTTCTTCAGCTCGAGGCTGCCGCTCACGCTTGGCTCGCTCGGAAAGTTCCCGGACAGCTCCTTAGAGTTATAAGAGAGGGTTGTTCTCCTCCTCCTCCTCCTCCTCCTCCTCCTCCTCTTCCTCCTCCTCCCTCCTCCTCCTCCTCCTCCCCTTCCTTCCTCCCCTCCTCTCCTCCTCCTCCTCCTTCACTTCCTCCACCCTCCTCCTCCTTCCTTCTTTCCCCCCTTTCCTCTCCGTAGCCCTCCTTAGGGGTTATACGCAGAGGGCTGTTGTTCGAGGCAGAGCGCAGGGTGGCCCCGGGGATCGCTCCGGCGGCGGAATTCAGACTCCCCGGCGCAGCTATTGCCCGCCTCGAGCCCGAAGATCTGTCCCTAGTTAAGGACCCTCATCGGGCCGGACAAAGTGGGGGGACTGGGAAATCGGGGGCGGAAAAGAGGGGGGTGATGACTAGGTGGGGTGGATATCATGGCGGGGGCCATGATTTTTCCCCAGATTTCATGGCGCCTCTTCTTGTTTCATTATGTCCCTGGCCCCCCCGCTGGGCCGCGCACATGCCGCCGGTCATGATTTGCACACCCCCCTCTTGGACACCCCCCTCTTTGCCGCTCCCGAGGAAAGGGGGGGATACGAAATCTGCTGCATGCAGCTGGTGTCGGCCCCACCGAGGGGCCCATGCCTCGATACATGGGCGCCTCCCGGCGCCGGGGCGCGCCGGGAAAGTCAGCTGCGTGAGCTGATTCTCAGACCCCCCCTTTGCTATAGCCCGGCCCGACCTTTCTGAGCGTTTCCCAACACGCGTGCACGGAAGGTCCTTCGGAAGCTCTCTCCGGGTCCTGTCAGAGTCCTTCGCCGGGTCTTTCCACGCCCTTGGGGCGCCCTGCTATCCGGGTTTTGGACTACACAAGTGTCTCTCGCGCGTGGCTCGTCGTCATCTCAGCTGGGCAGCGCGCCCGCGCAGCCCTCGCGAGGCTCCAAGAGAGAGCCCCGAGAGGCCCCAGTGGAGCCCCCGAGATGCCTCCGGGACGGCCCGCAGCCGTCTTGGCTGGAGCCATCTGGGCTCAAGCCGCGTGGCTGGAGTCTGGAGGCCCGCGGCATCAGCCGCCTTCATTGCCAGCCGCACTGTCCGAACATGGATGCAACAGTCGGTGCGATCCAAGCGGTCGTGGAGACATACGTCTCCAGCGTCGCACCCAGCATGGCGGCCTTTGGCTTCTTGACTCTGATGCCGTGGAGCTCGCAGGACAGGCCGGCCAACCTGCTGGACCCCGTGACAGGCTGTGGGGAGATGAGTTCGGAAAGCATCGCCGAGATGGCGCAGGAGCGCGAAGCCTTGCTGATCGTGTCCGTATACAGGACGAAGTGGGAGAAGAGGGAGAGCGCAGTGTCTCCTGGCTATCTGAGGACGGGCACCCCGACTTGTTTTCGTCTTCATGCTGCGGTTGGATCGGGGCTGGCCCCCGAGTGACCAAAAGAACAACTTCCGTAGGTTGATGGGCGTCAGGACCCCGCTCCCCTTCCTTCTACTTTTCTTTTTTCGCTTTTTTTCTTTTCTTTTTTTACTTATTTTTTTTTTTACCAATTTTTTTTTTTTTATTTTTTTTTTTTGCTTTTCTGTGTTTTTTTTTTCTTTTTCTTTTTGTTTTTTTATTTTTTCTTTTTTTGACTCTTTTTTCTTTCTTTCTTTCTTATTCTTTGTTCTTTCTATTTCTTTTCCACTTTTGTTTTTTTTGTTTCTACAGCTTTTGGGGCGCACGGCCGTTGGTGCTTTTTTTTTATTGATTGTTTTTTTTTATTGTTTTTGTTTGCTTTGTTAGATTTTGTTTGGGTTGTGTTTTGTTTTGTGTGCTGATGGAGCTGGAATGTGACCCACAGGCGCTGCTACATAAGGTGCGCTTGGAGCTCAAAGAGAGCTCCGTCGTCCAGCAGCGCCTGCGCGCATTCGAAGCCGAATCGAGCCGGGGGATCCCTTCTGCGAGCGATTGCGAGGCGATCGAGGACGAGATCGACGGCCTCCTGTGGGAGAGCATCCCAAATCTGCTGTTTCCCGGCTTCGCGCCTCTGGACAAGCGCTTGCTGGAGTCCGGGGTCTGGGTCGGGGATTGCCGGCTCGTGCACTCGTACGCGACCCACAAGCGCGTCTTGTTGGCGGTCAATGGGCAGCATGAGAACGTGGTGATCAAGGTGCACAACAAGCGTAGCGTCACTGATGCCACACAGGTGGAATGCATCTACAAGGAGTTCTGCTTCTTGAAGCACACTCTTCACCACCCGCACATCATCCGCTGCGAAAGCATGCTGCACAGCCGGTGCAACGTGCACCTGGTTCTCCAGCATGGTGGCGACGTGTGCATGGAGCAGGTTTTGTCGACTCGTCCAGGCCAACGCTTGTCCAGGGACGACGCCTTCGAATGCAGTGCACAGGTTGCGAGTGCCCTGTCCTACTGCCATGCCCTGGATGTCGTCCATGGGCAAGTGTCATTGAGGCACGTGACGGTAGAGATGGCCTGCAGTCGGCACATTTGCCGCCTGGTGGATTTCAGCATGGCAGCCCACGTCCCAGACTCCAGCACAAGAGAGACCTATTGCAGCTCTCTGCGCTCTCTGCCATGCGTCGCTCCGGAGACAGCGCTGGAGGAGCCCTACCTTCCCAAGCCTGCAGACTGTTGGAGCCTTGGGGTGGTGTTCCTGGAGATCGCCTGCGGGCAGGGCTCGCTCGAGTTGTCGGTCCAGTGGCGTCGTGAAGAGCCCCTCGCACGAGCCGCGTGGCAGATACTCGAGTTCTTTGCCCGGGCCGGCTGTCACACCGAGGCGATGACCAAGATGGGCAACGTGCACGACGGCACAGCATCGGTCTGCTTGCAGGCGGTGCTGACACCCGAGCCAGCTCGCAGAGCGAGTGCTGCCGACATGGTGGGGTTGCTCGCTATGGGGCACGTGGAGGTGGAATCTGATTCAGCAGTCCGTGTGTAGTTCGATGTTTCTAGCTGCCTTCTGACTCTGGTGAACACACAGCGTGTTCATCGTCTGTGTGTCTTCAGCGCGCGTACTTGAGTTGCTGCAGATCACAGGTTCACACAATAATGTAGCCGCCGTCATATTTGGTCTTCCGTTCGACTCCGAGATGCGAGTTATTTTCTGCAAGCGCAATCAGCGCTCACTGTGCCAGACGCCAACAGTTGACGTCGTCTGACGCCGTCAGCGAGGCATGCGCGGGGTCATATCGTGTGCTGGCATCAAGAAGAGTGTATTGACAGGGGGGTTAGGGGGGTTGAACAGCTGGAGGAGTCTTCGACGGGACGGCTCTACAGGCCTCGGGCTGGCGGACACGTCCTGAAGGATTACGCCGCGGGTCCATGTGGGCTTTTTTGCACATGCGGGCTACGCTACCGACAGCAGCTCGTGTAGCTAATGCCCTTCTAGTTGTGCCTCCAGCGCTTTTGCCGCTGCGGATCCTTTGTCTCTTGCGTCGGTTGTCCAATATCCGGCGCAACATGTATAAACTGGACAGCGGCAGCAGGTCATGATCGTTTTCATCCTGACTGATTCGGACGCGCGCTTCTTCAATCCGCCTGTTCACACGGGCTGCAAGCCAGGTCCGATGTCCTGCTGATTATCCATTTTAAGTGGCCATGCATTTTCGATGCTTTGCATGCGCTGTGTGGCACCGCTTACATTCGGTGCCCGCACCGGCCTCCTTTTCCTCAGCCTCCGCTGAACGCGGCCGAAAGGCCACACTTAACGCTGTCCAGCAGGCACGCGTTCGTTTTTGCAACACTTGCAGCTTCTCGCTCCCAGCGATCGCAGGCCTCGACGCGGTCACCGATGCTGCCAGCAGTGTTGCCCCTGCCGGCTCGGAGCACGCGCATCCGCGCCCAGCGGCAGCCTCCTGTCTTGGTGGCAGGAGGAGGTGGAGGAAGAGAAGGAGGTGGTGGAGGTGGTGGAGGGGGAGGCGGAGGAGGAGGAGGAGGAGGAGGAGGAGGAGCGAAGAGGCAGAGGTGGAGCCAGGAGGAAGGAGGACTTGGACGCGAGGAGGAGCCAGCGAGGAGGAGGAGGGGAGGAGGAGCGAGGAGGAGGAGCAGGAGGTTGGTGGAGGTGATGGAGGGGCGAGGAGGAGGAGCGAGAAGGAGGAGGAGGAGGTAGGAGAGGAGGAGGAGCTAGGAATAGGTGGAGCGCAGGAGGAGAGGAGATGGAGGAGAGAAGGAGGAGGAGGAGAAGAGGAGGAGGGAAGGAGGCGGAGGCAGAAGGAGGTGGGTGGAGGTCGTGGGGGAAGAAGGAGGAGGGGAGGCGGAGGAGGAGGGAGGATGTGGAGGAGGAGGAGGGGTGGAGGAGAGGGAGGAGGAGGTGGAGGTGGATGGAGAGGAGGAGGAGGAGGAGAAGGAGGAGGAGGAGGAGGAGGAGGAGGAGGAGGAGATGAGTGGAGGTGATGGAGGGGGGAGGCGGAGGAGGAGGAGGAGGAGGAGGAGAGGAGGCGGAGGAAGACGAGGGGGAGGAGGCGGCGGAGGAGGAGGAGGTGGAGGAGGAGGCGGCGAGGAGGAGGAGGGGAGGAGTGGGGAGGGGGATGCGGAGGAGGTAGGAGCGGGAGGCGGAGGAGGGGAGGAGGTGGAGGAGGAAGGAGGAGAGGTGGAGGAGGTGGAGGAGGTGGAGGAGGTGGAGGAGGAGGAGGAGGAGGACATGGTGGAGGTGGCGGAGGGGGAGGGCGGAGGTGGGAGGAGGCGTGGGGCCGCCGCTGCCCGCGCGCCGTCTGGCCCGCGCCGTCCGCGACGGCTGGCCACGGTCGGCCGACGCCCCATGCCGGCTCCGCGTGCCCGGGGTTGGCACGAGGCGGGCTTCGTGCGCGAATCCCGCCAGGGGCGGCGCTGGAGGCGCCGCCATGGGGTCCAACGCCGATCGAAGAAATCCGCGCGGCCGCGCCGCCTCGGCCGCTGCTCTCGACGCCCTCGCCGCCTGCGGCGGCGCCTCATCCCTCTCCCTCACGCCCCCCCCTCCTTCCCCTCCTTCTCTCCTCCTCCTCCTCCTTCCCTCCACGCCCCCTCCTCATCTCCTCCTCCACTCCACGCCCCCTCCTCCCTCCTCCCTCCCTCCTCCCTCCTCCCTCCACGCCCCCCCCCGTCGGATGCAACTCCTGGGAGGTCAAATTCTGTGTTTACCCTGGTCCGAAATACGGCTTAGTCAGGGTTAATCCGGCTTGAGCCCGCTGCATCCGGCTTAATCCCGCTTGATCCCGCTTAATCCGGCTTAATCCGAGGCCCACTCCGGCCTAACAGCTCCCCAATGGGGCTGAATCCTTTTTTATTTTTCCGACGAAAACCTCCCAGTAGTTGCCTCCTAACCCCCCCGCGTGGTGATTTACTCTGCCTGCTTCTCGCTCCCCTCTCGCCCGCTCCGTCGCTGCGCGGCACGGGCCGCCGAGAGGCCGGGCTGCAGCAGGTGCACAGGCGGGCCAGCTGGGGCAGAAACTGCGAGGGGCTCCAGCCCATGGCGCCAGGAGCCACCCTGCTCTCTGACGCCCTGGGTGTGCTGTAG